TAGAGAGCGATTGGACCTCAAGCCGGAGCACCGACTAGAGGGCACGGGCGTGCGCAGCCCAAGAGGTAGAATATAAATATAGTCGAGGTATAGCTTTATTTGGAGGCGCGGTCGAAACACGGCCTATCGAGAGCAGCCGTAGGGTCCATTCAGACGCGAGGCACCGGAGAGTCGAGTACAGGTACAGAGACGTTTGGATGGGAAAAGATGATCGGGTGGGTTTAGAGGACCCAGATCGGAGGTCGGGGGGCGGAGCGGCGTCGGGATATCGGTGGTGCTCTGCACGGGCTCGGGCATCCGGGTGCCCTCGGCAGAGGACGGCGACGACAACGGAAGCGACGATGCTGATGATTGCAGTTCCTTTACACAGAAGATCAATTAATGAGAAAAGATAAGAAGAGGAGAGTTGAAGGATCAAGGTCTGAGACCAAAGGTGGAGATTAATCTAGTATGGGCAGCAGGAACTGACCTTACCTTATGGTGCGAGTTAATTGGTAGGAAAGGTAAGGTAGATCTTGACGGGAAGAAAGTGGTAATGGAGGACGGCATGCGCAGGCGGGGGAGGGAACAGGTCATGCCTGCCTCCCGGACTTGATACTTTTCTTCGGTGTCAAACTTCCAAACCAAACCAGATCAAACAGCCCCTCGGACGGGAAGGAACAGCCCACCCACCTCAAGTTTCAAGGTCGCGGGGTTTGACCGAGCAAACAAAGGCACAATCCGACCTCTTTCTTGGTTCCTGGCTCCCCCTCGATGACACCTCTTCGAAGATCGTTTAGAGCTTCCGTGCCCTGTAATTGATCCCTCCCCTTCGCTGCGAGCTGCTGTATCTCAGTGGTACATCATCTGCCGGCCGGGGGCGTTCATCACATGTTTATGGGGAAATACTTGAGTTGACTTTATACTACGACTACGACTACGACTACGACTACGACTATGCAAATTGAATCCTTGTCAATATTAAGACTCGAATACTCTCGCTATTGACTCCTCGACCGAGATAACGTCCGTCGACCCATTTCCGCGGATGCAATAACACAACCAAAGTCTCAGTGTCCAAATTATGACCCGATATCCCATGTCATCAAGCGGACTTCAATGTCCGGGTCAATTAGCTTGCAACCGTCTGTTAGCTAGGCACTTACCTTACTTTGCGTTCGCCCAATAACAACCACTGTAAATCCTCACCCCGCAATCATAGGATGCATCATTTGGGGTTGGACAGCCGCGTTAACCTCAGCACGAAAGGCCTTCTCTTTGGCCACTCCATTTTGTGCTTCACAAACGATCACCACCACCAGGACCTCAAAACTCCCAAGATCGACGCCTCTTGATGCATTCAGCCGTCGAGACATTTGGCTATCATGCATCATGCCTTAAAGAGTAGTTGACTCGGCAGGATAAAACCAACCATTACGACCACAATGATCGCGAGCAAACCATGTATGGTAATGCACACATCTCACGCATGGAGCAAGCAACCTCCTGCGCGAATGCAGCTGTGGCTTATAGTTTATACAAGTGTTGGTAGTTATCGTGACAGCTCGCACGCTGATATACTGGTACTGTAATTTATTCTACTCGGAGGACAGACATCATCCTTCCTCTCATGAGGTTCAGCAAGATGACGAGATCGCCATGGTAGACCCGCACACATCTCTCACTCGTGGGATCACTGATGTGAGGTCTGCAGCAGGGCTCGGCTTGCCTCTGGATGGTCTGTTCTCCGGCGAGCTCCAACTAGGAGAGCTTGACGAATCCCAGATCCAAGGTCTTCTAGACTACATATGCCACACGCCTGTGTCTCTGTTGACTCAAGATCCGGTTGCTGTCTCAGCTGGAGTATCCTCTGCTGGGGTTGCCTGGCCCGTGGTGCCATTATTAGGAGTATCATAGCTTGCCAGCAGACGCTCCTCTTCCTTCTTGGAGCGCACAGCCTCTGTCTCTTCACGAAGCTTCTGCAGATTCCAGACATCGTCATCTTCATCGTCGTCGTCGGAGTCGTCCTCATCTCTCCACTTGCCACTCTCGAACAGAGCACGACCAGTGTTCTCCTTGGCCTTGCGGGCTTGCTCCTCGGCTGCCTTCTTGTCGAGGCGATCCTTCTTCCACTTGGCGAAAGTCTCGGGAGTGACTGGCGTAAGAGTACCGGTCAACTTGTGTCGCTCAGACTCCAAGAAGTCCTCGAGTGTGAGGGTCTTGAGTGGTGATTTGTCCATAAGCGCCTTTTCTGCTGCTCTTTGCTCTTTGGTCTTCAGAACGAATCTAAGTTTGGTGTTAGTGTAATTGCAAAGATATATTGATGACAGAAGCCATACCCAGGTGGCAGCGCATGCTTATATTTGCACTTATCTCCTCCGTTAGGGCAAATCCAGAACCAACCATACTTGCCGTCCTCAATGGCCTCGATGAAGTATTTGCACACTTTGTCGGTTGTGGTTTGCTGGTTGCCCTTCTTTGACAAAACGACACTTCGCAATTTGTCTTCGTCCCAGTCTGCTGAAGTTTCGGCCTTCTTGTTCTCCTCTTCCTCTCCCCTTGAATCGTTGTACAGGTTCTTCTTTTCTGTCTTACGCTCAACAGAAAGGTCGTGTGAAAACTTGCACTTCTTGCCCTTCTCACAGTTGCCTTTCTTGTAAAAGATGCAAACAACTGTCTTGGGGTCAACGCCAAAAGGCACCTTTTGGACTTGTGCTGGTTTGTTCATCATAGCCTCCAGATCCCTCTTGGCTTCTTCGGCCGCCTTCTTCTCACGCTCACGAGCCTCCCTCTCGGCCTGTTTTTTCTTCTCCTCGGCTGAGCCACTGTTCTTCAGGTTCGCCTGCATGCGTGAAATTTCCCTCTGGGCAGCACCTCCCTTCTTATTTTTCATACCGAAAGTTCGGTCCTCGACCGTTTTAGTGGCCTTCTTGGCCGCAGGCTCCTTACCCTTCTTGGGAGGCATGATGGGCAGTTGATGGTGGGGTAATCGTGGATATCAAAAAGATATTCGATGGGATTCGGACGATCGTGAGGTCCGTTGAAGGTTTCTGTCGAGGTATATGCCCACGATTTCGTGTTGGGAATGGCGAGAGGCTAAGCCACCAAATCTAGGTTGGAAAAAAAGACGAATGTTGAAGATTGCTGATAGTTGGTGGGCTGGGCTGCCTTGGTGTGGAGGATGAAGTCACAGCTAGTCACGTGTCTGCCGAGACTTTTCTTCGAGGGCAAGTGGCTCAACGTGTATAAGTGGTTAATGCCTGTCTGGCTTGCCAGGCAAAGTATTATGAGTTACATTGTTTAACAGAAATCAAGTAGTTTACTTTCTCTTCATATGAATTGCGATAGAGACTAGGTAATTCTTGTCCGCAACCGAAGACAGAATTGCGTACATATTGAAAGAAAAAAGTCATTCTCACCTACCTAGAAACTCACTCAGTCGCTTACAGTGGGGATAGTGTGTCGGGAGGAAATCTTTCAACTACGGGCCGCACTAAGAACCCCAGCAAGAATACGTACCTGTCCTTGCAACGCGGACACTTTAGAGCTCCATCTGGCCAGTTGAAGCTCCATATCCAACATCTACAGATACAGCCTCGCGTTGATCCCATTACACTGTCACAGATCATTCAGAGCATTGACTTCAATTCTGGTTCCTATCCAAACAACTCCCTTCTAGAATAAATACCTGGTTTGTCCTATCAACGCTGGAACGCTTGCGCGCAGGCCAAAGTACTGACCGAGAATCAATCTAGCTCCCCAAAGCCTACGCAGCTTCCTGTTCATCACCTCCATCACCGCAAATATGATCTCAGACAACGATCTCTACCGACTCGCCATTTTCTTCGGCACTACAGCAATGATTCTCATTGTTCTCTACCACTTCCTCGAAGTCAACGCTGCGAAAGATCCGATTGAAGCCAGCAAGGAGGGAGCGTCAAAGTCACTATAATTGCACAGTATCACGATTACTGCGCATTGTAATTTTTTACGAGAAGGGAATATCCAGTCTGCAGGAAAGACTGCTCGGCGTTAAGGAGAACTCTTTGGACGAACGATGCCGCCTATTCGGAAAGCAGAGCGTGGGTTCGATACAACTAGACTAAGGGGACTATATGGATCTTTTGCTGGGAGCTTTTCAGCTATCTGCAATGGAATACTGGGAATTTCTTCCAACAACAAATTGTCTCAGTCGACTTGAAGTGAGGCAACTGGGATAGGAGATTTGATGGCACACGTCAACGCCAACCTATCACAGATGATATTTGCCTAGCATGAGCTATGCACACATCCTTAGGCAGATTCTGCTAAGCAAAGAACAAACAACACATCTTTGTTAGTCGTTTGCTTTCCTCTTGGAATTGCGCTCGTTTGCATTTGTGATGAAACTCTGTCTTGTCTGTGCAAACTGTCCCTTTTTGATACATGTCCCTATTCGCATCGTAATAGGTACCAGATGTTTACAGTGTGGCGGTGCGAGGCTTATTGCTACTAAAAGAGACTAGCTTTGGCATGGCGCCACATTCAGACCCGCGCGCATTGAGCTGATTAGGCAGTAGAGGGCAACAGAAGGAGCAGGAAGCAGTGCCCACCCCGTGTTTTTCTATGCCTTTGTCTCCTTCCCTCCCTTGCCTCCCTCTTCCTTTCGACCTTCACCGAACTTCACTCAACTCAACCGATACACGCCCACTTCTCAACCCAGCCCAAGCAATTTCTTATTACTCGGCCGCCTTAATAACTCTCGCGCGCCTTTTATTTCATCTCAAGCCTCTCGGACGTTTATTACCACCTTCTTTTCAAACCCCATTCCACATTCGCGACTTGCGCCGTCATCGAGCTCTAGTCTTCACCATACTTAATCGCGTCTTTGACACCAAATCGCACGTGTCATTCGATATCTTCTGCTGATTTGACCAACTGCATCAGCTTGAACAGCAGATACAGCCTTTTATCTCACGGGCGTATCCTTCTCAGCCCGTCTTTGACCTACTCTTACCCACTTCACACAAACACACATCATCATGTCCGGCAAGCTCGACCAAGCTCTCGACGATATCACCCAGGCCCAGCGCCGTAGCGCTCGCCGCCGACCCAACCAGCGCCGTGGTGCCGGACGCCCTGCTGCGGCTGCACCCGTTGGTGGTATCCAGAAGAGCACCAAGCCCGCACGCGGTGCCGGCGCAAAGCCTGCCCCAGCCAAGGCTACTCCTACCAACAGTGATAGCAAGATCATTGTGAGCAATCTGGTAAGTCGCAAACACGGGTTTCCAATTGCATTCGTATACTAATACTTCAATAGCCTAAGGACGTCTCGGAGCAGCAGATTAAGGTATGTTTCCGTTGCGGCCCTTGAAGCCCTCGGACTTTGTTCGACCTTTTCTCCTTCGCCGCTCTCATTTTTGCCTTCGACGTCGCGTCTTTCCGACTAGTTTGTCGACTTAGCTTAGGCCTGGAGCTATCGGACGCCCATCTCCTTCTTTGACTCTGTAGACCCTGGAATATGGTGCTATGTCAGAAGTCGAGATAACCCTTGTCGCGCAATAATACTGTAGGAATCGCCTGGTCAGCGTTCCTCGCCTAGGTAGCGCCGACTTTTCAGGGTAGAGGCTTGTCATGACGATATGCGTATTCTACCAGCCAAAGGCCAGCGAATTCCTCCGGATAAAACCTTTTGGAATCCTGCATCTACTTTAGCGAGCAAGCAGTGAGCATATACAGAAGCTATCCCTTGCAGATCTTGAGACAAAGTTGTGTCGGCTTGAAAGAACCCCCTTTTGGGTACAACAGCGGGTTGCTTGTCTATTTCTCAGCAGACCTGCGAATACTACACTTGTAGTATACTTGGGCTGGGTCCAAGTTGTGGGTTACTATACGAATGAGAGCCATGTGGGTGTGGCCTGGTGCGCTTAAACTGATCTCAAATTCTTGCTGGGCGGACTGAGGGCTCTGTCTTTGTCTCACTGCTCTGCTTGCTAGCTGTCAACCAACATGATTTCCAAATCCTGGCGACGTGATACTCTCCCGGAACTGGAACGACCGAGGCTCGATGACGGAATGACGATTTTTGTTCAACTACACTTCGGAAGACTAACGCTATTTCCCCCCGATAGGAGTACTTCATCCAATCCGTTGGTCCCATCAAGCGAGTCGAGCTCTCCTACGGCCCTAACTCTCAAAGCCGCGGTATCGCAAACGTGACCTTTCATAAGTCGGATGGCGCTAGCAAGGCCTTCCAGAAACTGAATGGCCTTCTTGTCGACAACCGACCTATCAAGGTGAGCTATATCAGCGCCTCCTGTCCCATCAGTAACTAATTTGAACAGATCGAGATCGTTGTCGGAGCTGCCCAGGCTGACAAGGTCATTCCTACCGTCAAGACGCTTGCCGAGCGCACGACGTACGTGAAATATCTTGCCCCTTTCCAATCAACCACTGACCAGCGACATAGCCAACCTAAGGCCCAACCCAAGTCCGCTGCTGCTGACAAGCACAACGCCGGTGCCGCCAAGGGTGCCGCTGCCAAGGGAGCTGCTGGCAAGAAGCGCCGTGGTCGCAACAGCCGTCCCGCGAAGAAGACCCAGGAGGAACTCGACTCGGAGATGGCTGACTACTTTGACGCCTCGGCCGCCCCTGAGGCCAGCAACACTGCTGCTGCGCCTGCACCCGCACCAGCTGCTACCGGTGATGCTGACATGGATGAGATCGCTGTATGTAATCTTATTCTTGATCTGTACGGTTGATACTAACTATGATGCTAGTAAATTCGTCAAAAGCGCCATGACAATGGCATGAGACAATGATAAATTACAAAAACAAGGGACCTGGTATTTTATGGACATTTTGCGGAAGGATACGGTAGTTACTCGGTTTAGTGCTGCAGCAGATTGATCCGGAATGAAAGAGGAAGAGAGGCCTTCGAGGTCGGACAGCGGAGCAGCTGGTTTTGCATTTGTTACTGTTTGGTCTCAGTTCTTACCCTTGATACGTCGAACTTATCAATTCGGCAGCCATGTCTCAATGTTGCTTAGCCGCAACCGAGGGACCTGGAAATTAAATTGTACTGTACAACAGATGGAATAAGAAGCGCTTTATACACACGGATTTCTGTGAAGATATGATAACATGTATCTCTGTGATAAAATATACGAAGGATTCGGCTTATTTTCTCCAGAATTATTCTTCGTTGTCGAGACATTCTAGTCACTCACCAAACCGAGACTGATTAACTCGTTCGTATCTGAGACTCGTCAATCACCATTTCTAATCCTAACACAACGCCCATGCCAAGTCATGAAGGGGCCCAAATGTAGACCTGCCTCAAGCACGAGCCTTGAAATCATCAGGCTACCTTTTTGACGATCACATTGGCCAGATTTTCAACACAATAGTGAACACCGTGCGTGTGCTTAACAGTTTTTCCATTTTTTTCTTCCATATCGTAACAGGCAATGTAGTCTTGACTACATATCCGAAAAATACGCCTGCCTTGGTGCGGCATAACGCCAACCAAAGTTACACAGCCTCATCCTGTACTGTAGTTCAGATATGCTCCTCTTTGGCAACGTCAAACATTCATAATTGAGAGATTTAGTCCTTCTTCTCGGTAGCAGCGGGGACAGCGGCGGGGGCGGCCTCCTTCTTGTCGTCGCCCTCGAGGGCAGGCATGTCGTCGTCGTCATCCTCTTCGTCGAGCTCATCACCAGTGCCTTCGGCACCAGGGAAGCCAGCACCACCACCTCCCAACTTGGAGAAGTCGATACCGCCAAAGTCACCACCCATGTCTCCCATACCAGGCATGCCGCCTATTGAGATTTGTTAGTCACAGGGTTCTGCGAGGCGCAATCAATGGGGATTCGTAATAGACTTACCCATGCCACCGAACTGAGAGAAGTCGTCCTCAGGGGCCTCGTTCTGTTCATCCTCATCAACCCACTTGTCGAAGTCGGTCTTGAGGAAGTGGACGCGCTTGGAGTCCTTGAGCAATCTAGGCCAGTACTCCTCCTTGAGCTCCTTCTTTTGCAGCTTTATCTCAACATTCTTGGCAGTGTGGTTGATCTTGCTCTCAGCGGGGTCGATCTCGCCCCAGAACTCGAGCTCGACATGGTACTTCTTCTTGAGAGTGGATGAGGTGCCGGTGAAGGTGAGCTTGGTAGGCTGAAGATCGAGAGTAAGGCTGTCCTTGGGCACATCAGGAACAGAGATGGTGAGGTAGATGAAGTTCTTGGAGGCGTCGGCGACGGAGGATCGCTGGGCCCAGAGGACTGCGAGTGGTTAGCGGGTGAATTGCGAGTGATACTGAGGGTATGCGCAGAATGCGATCAAGATTGCAGCCGTGGGAAAGATTATCGGTAGATTGCATCTTGAAGGCGGCATCGGTAGAGGGAGGGGGAATACGAGAGCAAGGCTGGGGCTGGACAGGGACGAGCAATGACATACCTTCGGGGTAAACAGTGTCAGACATTGTGAAGGTTGAAGTAAAAGGGTATCTTGTCGTATCGTGAAGTTGCGTGAAGGAGGAAAAATCAGACAGAGGAGAGGGAGGGAGGGAGAGATAAAGAGAAAGAAGGCAAAGGATGTTGCAGATGCAGACGCAGATGCAGCAGAGAAAGAGAAATGGAGACGGAATGGATGAGTTTTTGGTGGGCGGAGGAGGTGCAGCTTTAGCTTCCGTACCTAGGCTAGCAGAGTGCGCAGTGGGAGGTGAGCGTACTTGATTCAATCAATCCGCCTTGAGGCTTCGCACGTTTGTCTGGTCACAGGCGGGATGGTAGAATGTCTAAGAAGGGGAGAGAATAGAGGGGCAATTGATCAGCAGATACCTCAGCTGCCACTGGAGTTATAGTGCTACCCAAGGTACCCCCCTACCACACCTTTGAGTGCCCGCTCTGACGTTTGCCCGCCCCCTTGAAGGAGGCCGGCTTTTCTCCACTATTACTGGGCTGTAGCTCCTAGAAGGTGCTGGAGCTTTGTCACCTCAGTTGGAGGTTTGCTGCGTACAAGCAGCGACGAGACGTAATCTGGGTGCAGTTTCAGTGCAATTTCCGCTGAATTATTAGGCTTCTTGCATGAGTCTCGATAATAATCCCTTTCAAACAATCAAAGGCCGTTGATTGAAGTGGCTCTTTATCTCTGGATTAGCAATGGCAGCCTAGTCCTACCTACACGCGGCCGGCATTCGATGGCGGGGTAAGCACCCCTCGGGGGGCAAGAAAACAGCAAACCTTACTGTAGGGTGTCAAAATAAACTTAGCAAAAGTCATCCTAAACTTAGGCTATATTAACCCAGGTCTTTTTGTCATTTAGGATCGAGGTCCTGTGTTTTCTTTCCCCCCCTAGGCACCTCACGCTGGAGTCGGAGTGCTGATCTTAGTGCCAGGCTCCAGGGAAGCTTTCAGCAGACCTCTCACTGAAGCCCCTCCGGTCCCTGTTTTTGCTCGCGGGCCAATGAAACCTCGGCCTTCCTATCACCTCAGCCTTGAGGCTAGTATCGGGCGAGCCTCACCACCATGACCCAACATCATCAACGACTGGCTGCGGCTGATTCGACGGCATCAAGACGCGTTGAAGTCTGGTAGTACTACGGACAGTTTAACAGACTTCTCAGCTCGAACATACAGATCACTGTGCTGTACCGTACTTGCACCTCCGCACGGATTCTACTCCGCCATTTGGCCATCTTTACAGTTGCGTCATTGGCGCGGGCATTTCCTACTTCCTTGTCCATCCAACCGCCACCATGGAGACTTTCAAATCTCTTTTTGCGAAGCCTGATCCCCAGGCCCAGGTACACACACTGGTCTATACCTGATTCCACATTATTGTCTAACATGTCTGGCTGTAGATGCGCAAATGCAATGCGTTGATGAGGCAAAACATCCGCAAGATCGATCGAGATATCCAGACTGTGAAACAAGTCGAGTACAAGACCAAGAACCTCATCCTCCAAGCCGATAAGCGAGCTCAGCGCGACCCATCCCGCGCCAAGCAAGCCCAACAAGAGGTTCGCGACTTTGCGCGTGAGCTCGTTCGCGCCCGAAAGACCTCAGCACGCCTCATCACATCCAAGGCGCAGCTCAACTCGGTACAGATGCAGGTACAGGAGGCCTTTGCTGTACGAAAGATTGAAGGATCCATTCGAGCGAGTGTCGGTATTATGAAGGATGTCAACTCGCTTATCCGTCTACCGGAACTGGCTGGTACCATGCAAGAACTAAGTGTGGAGCTGATGAAGGCGGGCATCATCGAGGAGATGGTCGAGGACTCGCTTCCTGCTGATGGTGATATGCTTATGGAGGACGAGGAGGCCGACGGGGAGGTTGACAAAGTCTTGGGAGAGATCCTCAGGGACCGTAAGCAGCCCACTCTCCCTGTGGCGCCTGTACCGGAGCCACAGAAACCCCAGGAGGAAGAGGAGGAGGAGGAAGATCCAGAAGCTATGATGGACCAGATGCGCAACCGGTTAGAGGCGCTTCGAAGTTAGTGTGCGTTTGGCGACGAGACTTTCTTGGTTGGCTGCTGCTTGAAGATGCCAGTTGTTCTTCATCATGGGAGGAGTTGGGGGCGTTTGGCGTATCTACAGTTTTGGCATACACTCGATCCTACAAAGACTTGTTGAGGACTATAGGGTTGGCACCGCATTGTCCGTAGTTTGCACTACGACGAGATATATAACCATGTTTCAAATGCTTCTTCATCCTATTTGCTGTGGCCACCATGTGAGGTCTCGTTCCGATTTCGATCAACTGGCCACTTGATAGAGGTGAGTATCATTCCAAATTCACATATCGTGCTTGCGATGTCCGCATGCTCTGTCTTTGTAACCTGGCCATACTTCGAGAGTCAGTATCGTAGCGTACTGCAGTCTTCGAGGGAGTAACATTAACTTACGGTTTGGTCTTGGAGTCACAGAGCACCAGGTCCAAAGCTCATGTGACAACTTCGCAAATAGTGAGCACAGATAATCAAGTTCAAGAGTTTCATGCTTTCATATGTTCCAGTATCAACTTAAGCTCATTAGAAGAGCGGTCAACATTCCCGTTTTGCTATCGAACGTGTCACTGAATACTGAGACTTGACGTTCTGGTGATAAGTGCATAGATGGAGGACCGGCGGAATTGCATTAGAGCCAGATATCAAGAATGCTTTGTCCTGCTAAACTTCTTTGCGAAGGATGCTACAGTGTTTTCTGGGTGCTTCCTTGTCGTTGAGTTGCTCAGAGAGCAAGTCCACGAATCCAATAGTCAGCATATATATCAGATGTGCTAAGATATCAACTCGTGTAGTAACTGAGCATCTTATGGTAAATTTCATCAAAATCTTCTTCCATTTATGGAGTATTTGTACCTAGCAGGGACATTGGCCATTGTATCTATACACGGGCAAGTTCAGCAGAGGCGGATGAATCAGTTCAAGGCCTTTGCTAGAACTCAACTTCAACCTTCTAGGTTCCGAGGTGGTATGTGCTTTATTTTTACGTATGATCCAGCTCTTGGTCTTGTCTAAAAACTCACAATGCGGATAACTGTTTGTCTTTTGTTCATTGAGTGTGTGGATAGCCAGGGGCGAAAGAACAATATGTTGGCTGTCTCTTCTCACGTACGCAAACGGTACCGCAGTCGATAGATGCAATTAAATTTGTTTCCTTGCCCTTAAGCCATAACCCCAATATTTGGGTGTATTTGGGTGTGTAACTCAACTCCTCTATCTCACTATGTCTTCAGGTGAACCTTCATACCCAAACATTATCAACGTGTCGAATGATATCTAATACTTAGTCAGATGATACCATGTCTGGTCCAACTCATAATCCATCGATGATACCCATGATTGCGCTCCCAGATCAATTATATGCAGTGTATTCAAGATCACATAAATATAGTGGCCTACCCTGAAGCACATGATGCCTCGAGGTGAGCGATGCCAACCACCAATGCTTCAGAAGCATTGTGACACGGGGAACGACTCTAGTCTCGGCCGAGTGTTGAGTTACCCGATGTCATCGTGGTGAACAGGAGGAAACAAGCAGGTTTGACCGATGTGTTGTTGTTCACACCGGATAGTCACATCCGTAGATGGCCTCACTTCACCGCAATCAACCCGCTGCCACAACCACAACCACAATCACAGGACCCAATTTGAAAAAAATATCCATCGCCTACGCTGTGACACCCTACAGTCACGTCACGTCACAGAATCCATTTCAAATTTTTCATATGTGACTCATTTCCCAAGGACAGCTGCAAGGGACCAGACCAGATATAGCTGCTGTCGTGTAAGTTAGACCCGCCAGCTCAACACTTTGACGATGGAGAATGCGCGCCAACTGCAAGCCAGCGCATATAAGCAGGTCTGTATAACCTGAATATTGGGAAATTGCATGCATGAGGGTTAGTAGTGTCGTTGCTGTGAGTAAGAGTGTCTGCATGGCTGGTTTCAAAAGGCGGTATGCTGGCCGGCTAAAGGGCCTGTATGGCTATGGCTGTAGCTACGGCGAGCTGAATTGATGCGGTGAAGCTTGAGTGTAGCAGAATCTTGAAACACATTGATCGGTGTAGGATAAAAGAGTTAAGTCAAGCCAACGACTCGAGATGCATATGCAGCAGGGCAAGGCTGCATGAGAGAACGCACACGCATTGCAGTGCAGTCGAGGGCGTGTTGTTATCTCTTTTACCCGGCACTATCTACTCACTGACTTTGACTCTGATACTGACACTCAGCTTACCTGACCGCTTCTCAAAGCACGATTCAGCAAGGTGACAGCTCACAAACAATGTTGATACGAGAGGATTGAGGAAAAGAAAAAGTATATTCCAATAAATCAGTAGACTAATCAGGGAATCACAGGGTCAAAGCATAGCAAACACCGATTGTTTCCTCCCCCTTACTCAAACATCAAGCAAGGGCAAGAAAAGTAAAGCGCCGTCGTCTCGTCTCGTTGTTCGTGTTCATACTCATGTTCATAGCGGGAACTAAGAGGATCTCCCCCCGTGGATCGATTCCTTGGCTGAGAATCACCCACTGAACCCTGGGCAGGGAGGTTTTGCTTCTGCGTGGGGGGAGAAGAGGAGACTTTGGTGGGATGTGATAACAAGAACGAGGCCAAGTGTGATTTGATGTGACTTGACTTGATGAGCTAAAGCAACGGATGCGAGATCATCGGGACGGTACGGCAAGCACCTGATCCGAGCCTAACGCTCTTGCCGCGTGAGACATGCTCTAATTATACAGGGGCAAACAGTTTTCAAGTTCAAAGTGCAACGAGTTTGTTGGTTATGGCTTTGTGAGGCGTTGTATGAGCAGTTTGTTTGTTGTATTGAATAGCGGCATGGCGCTGTCACGATATGCCACATCCAATCAAAAGCCCCCCAAAACTTGAGAGAACAAAGGAGACAACTATCCCCTCAAGCCCTCCAGCCCTCAAACCCCCAATATCCATGGCTTGCGAGGCGCGAGGCTGCAGCGGGTGATTGCTCTAGCTGCTTCGTGCCTGAGAAGAAGGCGAGATTAGAGCTCTCACTGCAGTTGATGTTGGCTTGATGTGCTGTGCTGTAAAGCGGTCAACCCCACGAGACCGCCTATACACCCCCACCCAATATCACTTCAGCAGGTGGCATGCCTCACATGGAGTGGTAGATGGGGTGCCTTTGCCAACACCAAACACCAACAGGGCTGTACTGTATCAGGAGACGGCCAGCTCAAAACCCTCAGGCCGACTTCGGATGAGAATACAACCCAAATTCGATATCACATCTTGGGCTCATAGGCAGGGGCGTGTACCAGAATATCGAATTTATTTCGATGACGGCATCATAAGGGGGAAATGAGAAATTCCTGTCATGGAAAGCTCATTACACACTTTGAGCATCATGATTCCTCGATAGGAGTTTATCATAACGCCTTGTCGCTCAGTGACATGTCTATCATGACGATCAATACTGTTGTTGAAGAACTCACTTCCCCTCCCTACCGGAGCAAAACAGACGAACTGTAGCAGATGCAATAATGGGAGGCAAATACCCCGGAAGGATGAAATAATCAACTCAATTACCCTTGAGCATAATTAACTTAATCGTAGTTGATGGTTTATGCGTTTTTCCAACTGCCTACCCCGGATTCTCAGGTGATCGATCCCCCAGATGACGAGGCGTTGCTGGCTGACTTGACTTACACCCAATTTACATGCTACATGGTAATCGTCATCGCCAGCCTCAGCCTTGGCCTCAGCAACTCAGCCCCAAATACACACGAACTGGGAATGCCTGTAATAACCACACCGTATGTAGTTGTACCTCACAAGAAACCACCACGTAGCAGGCAGGCAGCAACGAAACATTGGATTGTTACAGTTCGGGGGCCAAGCCAAGCATCACGGGTCCAAGATAAGATACTGATAGCATAATCAATCAGACTGCGGAACTTCGGGACGATGAACCTTTTTCCACTGTACATTCGGAGGCGAGAGATCCGAGCCAATCTCTGGCCAAAACATGGGGGAATGCGAAGTGTATGTACATAGATAGGTATTAGGGGAGCGCAACGCGTAGACATTGCACAGTAAGCAGCCGCGGCGTCCGTGCCGCGAATGCAGCTTTGATGCTATTCCTAGCAGACGTAACAGTTACAGGGACAGCGAAGGAGTGAGCAATTCGGAGACCGTATTATCTCAGCCTCGGCGTATTACGGAGTGAGCATTGCATCCGACATGGCATCATATCATACCCCGACAGTGCAGCCAAAATTCATTCATCTCATCAGCGACAAAAGCCACAGTTCGGTTTCGCATACCGTTTCTGCCATTTGCGCCGGATATCTCGAGATGAGTGAGATTAGCAGCGACATATCATGTTTTCAGCGAGCACAACGTACGTCATATTGATCTCTTTCTGGATATTTCCCACGACGCGGGTTTGGAATCGCGATCCTGGGGTAAACCAGAAGGGATCTGTCCAGGCTTTGGACGGAAGAGGTAGCCAGTTGCGCTGAGTCGTGGCGTAGGCGGCGCTCCCACATTGTGGCATACCTACGTACTTACGTATACTTCATACCTCGGTGACATGCTTCGTCTCGCAGGTTCCTTGGCAGTGAAATGACTGACTGTGTTGTTCAATAATTGCTTTCTTCGAGGTTGCATCAAATTCAGGAATCTCCAATCAGCTGCGTCAGGATCATTGTTGCCTTGCTGTGGCCGGAAACAAACAATGGATGTCTCAGCGTATGCAGCGAGAGAGTCAGAGACAATAACATCAATAAAACCTGTTATCATCTGCGACAAGTCTCAGCCAGAATCGGAAATCGTAGACATGTTTAATTGATTCCATTAATCAATTACGATTCAGTTCTTTTGAAACTATTGAATGTCGAGAAAACTCATTGATCAACAGTGCATCCTCATACTCACCCTGACCTGACGGTCATTCCGTGGATGATGCATTATCAATGATGAATGAAACGTCAAAGCTGTCAATCGCGTGGCAGACTTGACTCTCAGACTCTAGAAATGGAAGCTCTACACGAGTCGCTCACCCACGTTGCTTTGATAGGTAGTGACAGCGTCGGTATCGGTGTCGGTGCCAGTCTCGGTGACCTTCCCTTTTCCTTAGGAATTTCCGTCATTACACGCCTCCTCCTCCCATTCGCCCGTTTCCTAGACTCTACCTAAACGGGGGAATTTCCGGGACCATTATCGCTTCTTCCCCAGCTTTGGGCAACTCTACTCGTTTTCCCGCAAGCCACATTCTGCTTGCTCGATAGACCTCGGGCCAATTCCGGCAAAGGTCCACGGTTAGAATCCGATCTCCTTAAGAGAGATTGCTCAACTGCTCGCTACCTTTCGGTACTCTCCCCGCGGCACCGCAACCACAAAACAACACGTGGAAATTGCGGAAGCTAAACTACCGTAACGATCGCTAAGAACAGAATCAAAAACCGGGAGGCGTTTCGCCCAGACTGGTAGACCCGAGGTAGCACGGGGCAAAGTCCGAGGTTGGAATATTTTGAGTTTGGACGTTTTGAATGATTCAGGAGCTGCACCCTGAAGGATGCATACTACTCCGTATGTAGAATTTTCTTCATATGACAGATACTTACTGACACTGACGCTTGCAATGATTTCATGACACATGCAGACACGCTTCTACATTGTGGCTGTCCTTCCACGGCCCTTCTACCGATCCTTCTAGTGTCCACAACTGCATCTTCAACCACCACAACTCTATGCTCCAGGCCAAAAGGAGAAGGTGGACAGCATTTCAGGGTGGCTTCCAAGAAAGAAAAGGAAGCTCTAGAAGAGTTGATAGAAGCCCCTTCGATAAGGATCCATCTCCATCTCCATCTCCCTCTCGGCTCTACTTACTCCGTAGCATCACTGGCTAACAAGCCCCCATATTAAAGGGGGTTCTTTACGTTATGAGCGACTCGGTGAATGGGGTCAATGCAATGCCTGTCGGGAGCAACTCAGACATGGCAAGCCTTGGCTTGGCTTCACTGTGTATTTGGTAAGGGGAGAACCGCCGGTTCGGGTCGGGGGACCAGGGCTTCTCACAAGCGGTAGCTTCAAGGGGTTATCGACGCCTCAATCCTATCGCGGCAACGGTAGAGGAAGCAAAGGCTGGTTAAGCCGCCAGGCCAGGGGTTTAATTCTATTTTACAGGCCCTCGGAAGGTGGGAATAGTATTCCGTCCCATGCCATCCGCTTGGAGGGAGCTAGGAATGGCAGTCCGCCGTCCGGAGCTGGGGGTTTTGATTAGAGACGAATCGTCAAAGCAACGCCAGACAGGGCAAGGCGAGGTGAAGCAAAGCAAACAACAAAGTTTCAAGTGCAGCACCAAGCCGTGTCCGTGGTGTCGGATACTTGCTTTTGGGCATGGGTTCTGAGTCGATTATGTCACAAGGAATTGTGATATAATACAGGAGAATGTTACTCCGTGCGCCGGATAAAGTCGCCAGCGAAACCGTGTAAACGGTCAAAACACTGACTCTTGAGAGACCAAACAATTCTTCAAGGGGGCTTGCAGTACGAGAAGGGCTAGTCCTTCGTTAGCTAAGCCTGCGAGACCAGTAAAGCATATCGCGATGCAGACTCGGAAACCGATACAGTGTCTAAGTGTTAGGTAGAGTGCCTGATCCAGCCTTCGATAAGCTTTTCCTTAGCCTTGGCACAGCAACTTCCTGATTGAGCATCTTGCCTCTTCCCGCGGGATTCGATAACAAACAGGTAATTATACGACAAATGAAGGGATTGATGACGTTCGCTTCCTTGGCCTTTGCTTGAGACTCTTTTTGCAAGCATTGTCGCATTAATCATCGTTATCAAACTCAAAATTCCCCAGACGCCAAAGCAGCCCAACGGTGACACGGGTCACCCCCGGCCAGCGGGATATCCAGGCTGGTTGACCTGGTCTGGCTGTAATTTTAATGACCGATCTCTGACCGCAGCATTGGGAATTTGGGATTGGAAACTTGGAACTTGTCAATCCCGGGACAGCACCCGGCCGCGTGGACCGCTGTAAGGATTTCATCGCTGTACTCCGTAAAACCACTAACAAGAACCAAGGGCCAGGCTCAAAAGGCCCACTACAGCGAGATTGCTCGGGATGAAGAATTTCAGGTGTCAATTATTTGAATTACAGTGAAAAAAAAATCCTTCCTTGTGCCGAGGTGGAGTTAACTTAGGTAACGTGAGAAGAATTCTTCCATGGAATCTTCCCTGTCAAAATGGAAGGCCAATCTTGTCGGCGAGTAATGTAAAGTTGGTGTTTCCCCAGACCCGGCATTATACGGAAAAGAATGGATCGTGGGAGTGGCTTGAGTGAAGGAGAAAATAAGTGGCCGTGGAGGAGGTGGAAATACAAAGATAGATAAGGTACATACCTAAGGAAAACTGGAGGTTTGCCATGACGAACGTATCGCAAACGGCGCAAAAGGCGCTGAGAAAAAGGACCCTGATACCCATATCTGACTCATATCGCGACTTATTCCCGCCGAAGCTGCAGCAGTGCACCTCATCCTTCGGTTGATCACCGAACAACTTGACCGCCGGAGCCTTTCTTCTCCTCAGCGGGCATGAATTGCGTGCTGTGTTGTGCTGCCTCGCGGATAAAGGTGGAGTGAGGCGGGAATAGGCAGGGTCTTTTCGGCATTGCCTTCACACTGTCGTTGGTGCAATTGAGCACCAGAGCCACTGGAACCACTTGTATCTCCAGCGATCAGCAGGCTAGAAAGTTGCTGTGAATCCAGACGGCCAAGCATATCCATTCTGCCATTATCTGCAGGGTTCACTACGGGCCAGACCGTTAATCATGAATATCACTGATCAGCAGCAGCTCCTCTGTCTGATAAGCAGATCTACCAACGTTTTGGGCTGCCCGGCTAGGAGCAAAAGCCCCTCCGTGCAGCTCCTGCGACAGCTCCAGACTCTCACAGCTGTGTTTGGCTCGGAAGGGCTCGAACTGCAGATCATTTCTTAGCCAGAGTGCGGAGAAGCTCTTGAAGCTGTCTCACTCATCCTCAGGCGAGCACATCCGACAGCTCAAGCTCACCAATCTGATGTCTTCCGACTCACAAGCGACAGCGCTAGATTCGGATCACAGCTCTGAATGCACCCTCGCATATGTGTTGTTACCATCTGAGTTCTCCTGTTTCCGACATGTCGAAAGCGTTCTCCCTTCGACTCGACCGGGGCGAGGCAAGCGCCGAGGGAGAGTCAGTAGTTCAGCCGAGCGCCAAGGCCTTTCGGCGAGGGGTAAAGACTTTCACAGTCAAGGAATTAAACAAACTGAACCAAATTTGATGCTGTACTGGAGAAAGGCCGAAAGGATTACGGAAGGGAGACCGCCACAGGGTGGAGAAAACGCCGCAAATGCGGCTCCGACTGTGGATGCGGGTCTCCGAAGAATACGCCGGCGTATCGCATGTGGGGAGTATGAGAGAAATATCACAGGATTCACCAGGGTTAAACCGTCAGACCGTTGCCAAACGTAAGCGAAACCGTATTACTTTGTGTAACTGGGGAACAATTGAGAAAACTCTTCAGCTTTTTTTCTTTATTTTTTCTTTCATTTTTTTCTTTTTTTTTTTTCGTTCTATCCAAGATTGTTGCTTCTTCCACCGGATTTTGAAATTGAATATTGTGCCCAATGGCTAGGTTAGGATTAAACCCTGCAGCTGTACCACCGAGATTCCTACCGACCAAGACATCGCGGAGAAGAAATACAGTGCCGTGATTGGCTACCGATATCGATATCCATGCTAGCTAGCGGTGAGAGGGACGAGCTGCGATTCGTGCGCTCAAGCAGCCTGGACGAAAGGGGAAACTTGCTGGTCCCCGGGCAGCTGTTCAAGGTTTGCAGGCTAAACGGGCATGCAGGGTAAAAGAATGCTCGGTCCGGGATTGATTTCTACAGTGCAGTTTTAACTATAACCCTAGTGGGGAGTTGGGAAGAGGCAGAACCTTTGAACTTTGTTTTACTAGGCACCCCTTGTGCGTGCCCTGTGCCCTGTGCCCCTGGGGGTTATTGGGGGTTGATGGCTCTGATGGCCTGGAGTTTGGGTTGACAGCTTCTAGATTGGGAGGGGAAAATGGAATAGGTTGCGATAAGACGCGATATTAGGTAGGTGGGCTTCGGCGGGAGAAAGACCGAAAGGTCGGAGGGGAGAGTTTCAAAATTGTGTAGGCCGTGGTTGTGTGTCTACCGAGGATGCATACTGTACTGTATGCATATGATATGATTTGCTGTTTACTACTGAATGGCTGTTGTTGTTTATGCTGTTGACCGGCGGTGAAATTGAACTATCCTCGGCTTCCGCAACTTTAGTGGTTGATGGCGCAGCTGGATCGGACAGTCGCTGCAAGATGGTGCCCCAACCAATTGATAGGTGACTGTTCGGATGGTCGCTGATTGACTGCGAGTGGTAAAACAATTAACCAACTACAGACGAATGCTGGCAGCACCACGAAGCACGTATCCAGCAAATAGAAACGAGTGCCCTTTGCGTCAAGGGAGCGGTCAGTGATTGATTGATTGATTGATTGATTGCGAAATGCAAGCTGTGCCCTACCTGCATTGGATCGCATCTTTGTCTCGGCCCTTGCTTGAGGACAAGGCCAATCCAGCAATCCCTCAATCCTGTGAATGCCCTCCCCCTCTTCCCAAGTAGGAAAAAAGAACAGCCAGAGTTGAGTGTCAGCCAGCCCTGTGGGATGCATATGGTGTGGTGTGCGACTATCAAAACCTACTCTTGCCCGACGCGACGGGAAGGTTTGGGCGCTGAGCTATCTCGGGACAACGTATGCCAGGGCAGCAGCCCAGAGGCAGAAGCAAGCCGAGGATCGACCGCGGCCAGGGACCGATTCTGGGTGTGTTGGGCGCTGGAAGAATGGGAAGACGGGCCTGGAAGGGGAGGGAGGGCGTGCGTGGGGGGAGGGAAAAGATGCGACGGAACGGAAGAGGAGAGAGGAAACTTGAGAGACATGGAAAAAAAAGCAACCAAAGACAAACGCATCAATCAATCAATCAATTTGATAAATTACCAGACAAGACAAGTAATGAGACAACAAACTCCGAATGAGTTCATCAATCATTCTCCGAATCGTAAGCGGATGGCTTTTGATCCGAATCGAATGAATCATCTGCGATCATCCATCCATGGAGGAGCGAAAGCGACGGAGCTCTCACTCGCTCACTACAGGCTACAACAGCACCAATGAAGCATTGATACCTCGGGCTGATGAGTGATGAATCCGTTGATTCGTGTCGCAAAGTATCACATCACATCGTATTCAATTCGCAAGCGATTGCTGCGCTGCGCTGACTCTGCCGTAATCAGCAACTACGATTACATTATACGGCGGGTGAGTAATCCAGTTGGTCAGCCTGGGCGGTAAAAACAAAAAAAGATAGAATCGCTGTTGCTGTGTGCGTGCCTCTTATCATTACAGCTTGTGACTCTATTGATGACTGTGACTTGTGTCCCATTGCCGCCCGCGCAAGCCCGTGATTTGGTAACTTGACCCGCGGGAGGGAGGCTGTGATCCAGGCGACGGCAGCGAATCGAACACGGTGTAATTGATATTGTGGTTGCGATTCGCAGCTTTTCGGCCTTTGGCTTTTTTGGCTTTTGGCT